AAATTGTGGAGCAAAGTTCAAAAATGCTGAGTAAATAACTCACTGTCTTCACAGCCATTTCATAAGTTTCAAATTCTTGGAGACAGGGTCTGCCATCAATAATTCAGAGTTACTTTTATAACGACTTAAAAGGGGTTTTTCGAATAAATAAACTGACATAACATTTCGGTTTATTCATCCGACACTCACCCAAGTTCAAGAACTACTCAGAAGACGATTAATTCTCAGATATTTTATTAAAATGCATTCTGGATCAGAATTCTCACCAATCCCTCTTCAGTAAAGTACAATCTACAACAGATCCTACACCGATATTTTGGACTCTTTGAAATCAATCACAGTTACTGTGATTGATAATTTATGTCCATAAACAAATAATCCTCACACATATAAGTTGTTTTAAAAATATGATATAATTGAAATGCTTGTTCTTTTCCAACTCAGACCAATCTTCTTGTATGCTCTGTTTGCAGCACACTTTTATAATTAATGTTTGATAACTTTCGACCAAATGAGGATCTTGGGACAACCACAGAAATGAGAAACCTTGTTGATCCAACAGATTTTTCAATGCCAATGTCCAGTTATATGTATAATTATCCATCATTAAACTTAATTTATACAGTTTGTTATAAACTATTTTAACATAACTGTTATCATGTAGTTTCAACAGTCTAATACAAAAAGAAACTATTACCATACTTTCCAGCGTATAAGATGACTGGGCATATAACACGACCCCCGTACAGTTAAAATATAGAGTTTGGGATATACTCACCATATATGACAACACCCGGCATATAAGATGACCCCCGACTTTTGAGAAGATTTTCCTGAGTTAAAAAGTCATCTTATATGCCGGAAAATATGGTACTATTATTATTATTAATACCTATATTCTAGAAACACCAAACTCCAATCCATATAAGCTGGAATTTTATGGAATAACATAAAAATTCTTTGAAGATATATGGCAAGAACAATTTCCATTTTATCATGATAAGTAATTGCCCATACAGGAGCAGCATATAGTAGTACTGTACATATGAAATCATTGAGTGAAATAATTTTATATAAATATGAGCAGAATTAATTTTAGTTTTTGAAATAATAGGTCACATAGAACCCAGTGCCATTTTAGCCTTACAAATACTATAATTTTTAGCCTGTAAAAACAGTCCAGAAGATGAAAATAATACTCAGGTATAGGTAATTTGAAATGACTTGTACAGGCTGATTATTAAAAGACCATCTCTCTTTGGGTGATAGTCTACCACCCTTCTTAAACACCATCACTTTTGTTTTTGAAAAATTTATAGTTAATCCATAGTCACAACAAAATTCTGCTAAAATTGTGATTTTCTTTTGTAACATTTGTGGAGTATCGCAAGGATTAGTGTCATCAGCATATATTAGTACATGTAACTCAACTTGATTAGAGAGAGAAATCCCAGGTATGTCAGATTTAACAAGTCACACTATCAAACAATTAACATATAAATTAAGTGAAAAAGAATAAAAAATTATTAAAGAAGCAGACTTAGAATCTCACCCTGTAAAACCAATGTCAATACCAAATAAATCAGTCATTTCAGTTAAAATCTTTACTCTTGCAGTGGCTTTGAAGTATATGATAATTATAAGGCCAAGAAACTGTTTATTCATACTCATTCTTTCTAATAGAGACCATAAAATTTTATGATTAACAGTATCAAAAGCAGATCAAAAGTTTACAAAAACAGCATAAAGTTTTCCTCTCTTTTTTTGCAATTTCAATTGAACCAATGCATTTAGTACAAATATTTGGTCTTGACAGGATCAGCCAGGTTGAAAACTTGCTTGCTCTTGACACAGAATATCATATTTAATAATCCATACTTCTAATCTTTTATTTAATAAAAACATAAATAGTTTACCAATTACAGAAACCAAAGATATAGGCTAATAATTTTTGGGGTCATACATATTGCTTTTTTTTATATATTGGAATAATCAAAGATTCAATCCATTTTTCCGGGAAAGTAGAATTTCTTTTAATAGAGTTAAAAATAACTACACTTTACCACCCTTTGATATGCAGTCTATTTTATTAACATAATCTAATGTTTTGGTCAAATTAATTGACCTTCATCAGGATCGAACAACTTTTTCGGTTTATGCTGAACTAAACCGATTATAGAATGTTTTTAACTTTAAAAGTTTTCTCAATGCCTATTGCACAAGTCCAAAAATAGATAATTAAAAACTACATACTGAAAATGTACAAATATATGCATACACTAAAATGTTGACTGAAAACGTTAGATTACACTAATAAAATAGACTGCATGTCAAAGGTTGGTAGTGTAGTTACTTTTGAAAGTGCAGTTCGAGAAGAGTATAGAGTTAAAAACTTTCAATGTTGTAAGAAGAAAATTTTCTGAAAAAGACTTTAAATATTCTGTTCCGATAAAATCAATTCCAGGTGAGGTACCAGATTTAAAATGGTTAATAGCTCCTTTTAGCTCCTCTAGTGTAAAATCTATAAAACATTCTTTCTATCAGAAACACTTTATACACATCCGTTGACAATTAGTCATCATTAATAAATAAAGAATGTTCATTAGAGAATTTTGAGAGCATAATAATTGAACCATTTTTCCAAAGAAATTTTTGAATTACTCTTTAAACTTTTACATTTAAAACTATTAATTATTTGCCAAAATGTTTTAGAGTTATTGCATATCACCAATATGCCATTTAGGTTCCAAAAACAAGACTGTTTTTTTCTTTTGGCATAATAATTTACATTCTTTTAAATAATTTTTATATGAAGCATAACATTCATCCATATTTAATTTTTTCACTTTCTTAAATAATTTCCATAGATTTTTTTCTCATGGAGTAACACTCGCTGTCATTCCATGCATTTGTTGTATGTCTTTTAGAAGTTATAGATTTAATGTCATAAAATAAATCTAGAGAGATTGCCACCTTAGCTATACATTCCACCAGATTGTTGAATGTGAGGTTTCCTTCATATTCATCTAACAAAACTTTTATCCAATTTAACAGTAAATGAAGATTTAAATTCATCCTTCCATATTGCACATTTACCAGCATATCATCTATTAGGAACTGCTGATGTTATCAAAGGAGTCATTGAAAGAACAGTGCCTATCTCTGTTAAAACATATAGATCATTTGCAATATGAGAATATATTTATTGTGACATTATGACAAAGTCAATTACACTGCCTCCCTTACTTGCATAGTAAGTAAAATCATCATCTTTATCTCCTGGCAATAGTCCATTTAAACAGACAAGACTGTTATTTTCACAAAAATTATAGAGAAGTTTTCCTCTATTATTAACAGTAGAATCCTTCGAAACTCTCATGGCTAAACTTTAAATTATTTTAAAAAATTTTTATTCAATTTATGAAACATTTTGAATTTTTACATAAAAATGACATTTTCTAAAATATTTCATTAGATTAAAAAATATATACAATCAAAAATAAGAAAATCAAGAATACAGGTAATCTTTTGATAATTATTAGCCAAAATATAGTCCAAATAATGCAAGAAAGTTAGAGGGATTTTTTTTGTATGTATGGAAGTGTGTGTGGGGGGAATGCTTTTTCGACCTTCTTTGAAGCTTAATAACTCCTATGCCTTTTGTTAAAAATTTCTGAAATTTTGCAGAGAGGTTGTGTGTTAAGGGAAAATGTTTCCAGAAATTTTCAGAAAAATTAGACACTTGGTTCAGGAGATACGATCCCACTCCTTTAATATCTCCCAAACCAATGATCCAATTTTCCTAAAAATTTCTAGAAAAAACCCCGAACTTTTTTTGCATTTCTCAACATTTCAAGGTCACAAGACCAAAAGATCTTTACATGTTGAAGAGGTGAGGGTAATATTTTTTAAATAATTAAATGACCTCATTTTTTTTTACAAGTAATCGTTTGTATTAATTTTATGTACATCTGAAGACTTAAAGGCTTAAATTATTAGGAATGAAAATGAGTAAAGAATGCCAGGAAAGTCCAGCAACAATGTTAACAGCTTTTATTTTCTATCTTCAGCTTTTATATTAGCATCAAGCTGACCATGGAAAACAAAAACTGACACATCAGTCTTTATACTAAAGTATGACTGGTGCAGTCCTTAATAGATCCAAGATGTGGAATTTGATTGCACAATATCATAGATGCATTAATTTAAAAGATTCAAACATTCTATCGGAGAAAAACTGCATCTCTCTGATCGGAAACTCGTGCAAATAAGCAATGTTAAGAGTCAGACGAAAAAGCCGCCCTCCTCCGAGATCTGTCAATCGGGTCGTCAACCTAAGCTCACTAGTAACCGCATTTAGAACGGTAAACCGAGCCACAACATTCAGCAACAAGACAATGAATTTAAAATATAAAAATGCAAATTTACAAATTAAAGTTTAAAACAATTGCATTTACTATAATCATATTCCGAAATACAATAACTGAACTTTTAGAAATTATAATGCAGAATGGTTTTCTGCATTATAATCATTTAAAAAATTAAAATCTCACGAATGAAAAATCATAAAATGAATGAAGAATTATTAGAATATTAATTAAAGACACTCTTTAAATAAAAATCAAAGTTTTCTTTCCAATGACAAGTACACTTCATTATGCATGGAAGCAACCCTTAATAATATGCAATTATATTTAAATCATTTAAAATATTACAAATTATTTATAAATCAATTAAAGTATTACACCCAAATTGACATATAGTGAAATTATATTTGATTATTATCAATACATTTTTTAATATGAAAAGATAAAAGATTTGCCAAAAATATTTTCGGAAATTAATCAGTTCGTAACTGCGGAATTTTAATAGACATTCATCATTATTTCAATGTCATTCAAGGTGAAAATAAAGATTCTTGTCCATTTTTTATTAGCATATAATACAAAGACAACAGACGTTTATAATTAAACTCATATCAGACATATTTATCGTCATACCTGTTAGAATTAAAGGATTTCTTTGGTAAGAATTCCGATTTCCTAACAAACGTGAAAACGTGACCAGAAGCGATCTTGTTCCCAAGCATCCCTTCATATTTGCAGGAGCGTAATTCAATGGATACAACGTGAAGTTAAGCCTAAAAACGATCTTATTTAATTAAAAAATGTATCGCTCGACAAAAAGTTTTAAATATTTTTTATATTTCTTATTTTAATGCGTCATTTGACGATTATTATTATAAACTTTAAAATTCGGCATATTCTCTTAGGCGACGAATAAAGGAAACAAATAATCTTCTGTTTATACAGGAAATGACGACACAAATTATTTAAAGATATTCAATTATTAAACTGTACATTTAAAATAAAACTAAATAAATACGAAATGAAATAAAATTGTTTTAATTAATATATATAAAAGTAATATTTCGTTTGAAATAATTAAGTTAATATTTTATAATATCTTGATATTTAATTATATTATTATATTTTTAATTTAAGTTTATTTAGAAGAATTAATATGTAGTTAGAATTATTATTTATTTAGTTTTCAAAATTTCCATTAGACGGAAATAGTTTAAAGAAACGTCAACTTCCGTTTTCGTTGCTAAGACGACGGCAACAACTGATCAGTATGATGAGTTTCGGACGTGTATAGGAAGATTGTGATCATTTTATGCATTTTCTCGATCGACCAACGTTTTTTTTTTTTACGTTTTAAAAATGTTTTTAGATAAGAATAATTCTCAGTTTGTTATTATTATTATATCTATCTTTTTATACGTTTTTGTTATTTGCAATGATTTAGAGGAGGAACTAACATCTCCTGGAGAAAGATGCTTCTGTAAGGTAAACCTCAAATATTCTTAAGTGTTTAGAAATTAACATACAAAATTATTTTCAAAATCGACTTCGAGGAGATTTTAACAAGATTGCATCTCTCTGTCATAATCTTGTTATGTTCAATGCTTGCATCATACTTGAGTTATATTGAAAGGATGTACTGTACTGTACAAGGGGTGCTCAAAAGTAGGTTTACAGTTGTGAGTATGGAAAACACAATTAATTTTTGCATTATTTATTTGCATGATATGGTTTGCTGCATAAGAGAATTCTGTAAAGAAATTGATGACAAAAAGTGTGCTTGAGTGTAGCAGGTAGATGTCAAGAATGTGTAATTAATGAAGGCTGGTAATTTGAGCTCTTATGAGATTGTATTAGCTAAGTGCACTTGCCATTGTGATATTCATTTTGAGTTAATAAGCTATTATAATAATCATAACTTGTGTGTCTTTTTCCATACGAACAACCATAAATCTACTTTTGCCCACCCACGTATAACATTTTGTAGATCGATAGTTGTTACAAATGAAAATTTTGGTACTTCAAGAACTATGATATAAACATGGGCACCGATTCTAAGGGGCCTGAACCCTTTTGGCTTCTCCAATATTATTTTAAGTGGTGCTGGGTCCTTTACCAAAAATAATATTTATCCTTCAACTTTTGGGGCTTTGGCACCACTTAAAATATTGGGAAAGACATATGGGTTCCAGCCCTGTGAATATAAGAATAGTTTTTATATTAATTATGGATTATATTCTTTAGTTTTTAATTTACAATATTTTAATATTGTCACTACAGAACGCTTGTCATTTATATTTAATTTCCACAACAGCATCTTATCTCACTGAGAATTATTTATTAACTTTAAGAAATGTTTCCAACCTGTTCTATAGGCCATCTTCAGGTTTTTAAAAAGCTATGAAATATTTATAACTGTTCTTTTCAAATAGAACAGTTAATAAAACATTTAAAATACCCATTTGAAAAGAACAGTTATTAATGTTCCATAGCTTTTTAAAAATATAAAGATGGCCTGTAGAACAGGTTGAATATGTTTGTTAAAGTTAATAAATAATTCTCATTGAGATAAGATGTTGTTGTGGAAATTAAGAAGTATCTAGCTGGTATTAATTAAGTATTTATATTTAAAGAATAACTTTAAAAAATAAATCAACTATAAATGTTTATTTTGGCAAATTTTAATTAATTTCTGTAAAATCTTCATTATATAAAACCTCATTAAAACTAATGGTAGAATAATCAGCCAAATAAAATTTATTGATTAAAAATTAATAAATGACAATATAATTTAAAATATTTTAACACTGTTAACTAGATCTTCAGTAATGAAATATAAGTTGAAAAAATTTTTTAATTCTTGGAATTAAATTTTATAATAAAAAACTACAGTAGTTAATTGATTATTAAGTTATTGGATACATGAAGCTTTTGTTTAGTATTGTCTTTTATGAGGTTTTTATTTAATTATAATAATATAAAATAGGTCTTCTATTTTTAACATCTGTTGTCTGTATTATTTATTATTAAGCATTTATTTATTACTTATATTATTAAGTATTATTTATTACTTACAAAATTATAGTATTAGTATTTATTACAGTTTGCAATTATTATAAAACAAATGTTTTAAGCTTTACTCAATAATTTTACAATCCCTCGTCAAAAGTATGGAATATTGTTCACTTTGCAGTGTCATTCAATTCAGCTTAAAGTTTCAAAACACAGACATTAAATAAGTAATTCTTTTTAACAAAACGTATTTGCAGTCTTGTGCAAGTAACAACAGAAAAGAGATGAAAGCAATTATATAAAAATTTTAAGAAACAGCACATTCAACACAAGCAATATTAGAAAAAATATGGAATATAGTAATTACAGAGACATAAGTATGGAATTAAGTAAATTAATACTGCATGGGACCACCTTTGGCCTTTATTACTGCTTTAATACATCTCTGTATTGAAGTGACTAACTTTTCATATAAGTCTGCAGATATTTCTGCCCAGCTGGTTTGAATAGCACTCTTAAATTTGGACATTGAAGCCTGTTTTTTTTTTTTTTTTTTCAGTTTCTTCGAAATATTCCACATATTCTGTTTGATTTAAATCCAAGCTGTTTGGTGACAATCTAAACGTGAAATGTTATTGTTTAGGAACTATTGGCGTACTGTTTTTAGCATGATGGGAATATGCATCATCATCTTGATATATAACGTAAGAGTCACCAAAGTGTTCCTCTGCTGTTTTTTTGCACAAAATTGTCTAAAATTTCCAATTAAACTTCTGCATTCACAGCAGTGTTTACAATTTCCAAATGTCCAGGTCCTGCTGCAGTCATGGTACCCCAAATCATAACTCCGTTGGAAATTTTGTTTTTGAAAGAAGGCATTCTGATAGAAATTTTTCATTGGTTTTCTCCAAACTTTGCTACCATTGTTATCTCCGTATCCCATGCACATATGTGACTTATCAGTGAACATAACTTGTTTCCAATGCATCAAATCCCAATTCTGGTAGGCTTTTGCCCACTGAAAATGTAGATTTTTATGCTTCTCAGTCAGATATGGTTTCTGCTTTACTTTTTTTGATATGTAGCCATGTTCATTTAACCTTCTATGAGTTGATTTTTCAGATACATCTGTACCAGCTTCTTTCCATTCAGCATTCATCTCTCTGGATGACTTAATTCTTCCTCCTGTAATGATTTTGACGAGATTTCTGTCTTCTCGTGCCATAGTTATGCAAGGGAGTCCACATCTACATTGATTGGAGACAATTCCTTGTGCTTTATATTTAGCTATAATTTTAGACACTGTACTTTGTGTACATTGTACATGTTTTGTAATTATCTGCTACTTTTCATATGTTTGTAATATAAAATTATCAACTGTTTCTTTGCATCACTCAATTCTGGTGTTTTTGGCATAATTTTAGAATGCAATACATTAAGCACAATTACAGTTCTGCAGATTCAATCTTAAAATGTGATATTATGCAATAACAGTATCATTAAATTAATTTTAATATAGAACATGACCATCATATTCTAAACTTTTGACCCTGCTATTCCAATATTCCATATTTTTGTCTCTGCTCTTGATTAATAAATGAGTCATACTTTTTTATAATGCATAAAACTGATTTCATTTTAGCAAATGTTTATATAAATATATCTTCTCAAATTGTGTGTAAGCAGTCAACAAGCAAACGTTTAATATATTTTTTAAACTTGCCTTTGAATTGTTGTAATGCAGGAATTTATAACTTTATTCCATACTTTTGACCGAAGGTTGTACAATTTAGTTTTATTTTATAAAATATAGANTTGTCTAGTCTATAGTTTTGTATAATTTCTGGTAAATTTTTAAATCACTTTACATAATCCTCCTCTTGCACTTCTGCATTTTCACTACAGCTTTTATTGAAAAGCTATTACATGCTTCTTAAATGTATCTAGACATTTGCTCCTTGCTTGATATGTCCCGACTGTTGTCTGAATTTTTCTAACAAAAAACTAAAACATTCAGACAAAACTTGTATAGTTATTCAGTGTAGAGGCAAGAATATTCCATGGAAAACTTCTTAGTTTTAACAGAAATATTCTTGTCTATGCACAGAAATATTCTGCATGTACTTTTCATCGTCTGAATACATTTATGCTTTCTTTTTGGTTCACTGAAGCTTTCCAAAATCCTCTCGTTGTTTTTCAGATATGTGGAGAAAGTTCTCAATGGAATGTCAAATTATTTTGCAATTTCTGTTTTTTTCTTTGCTTTCTCCATGGTCTTTATGATGGATAATTTTTACGCTATTGACAAAATATTTAGTTTTCTCTTGTTCATCATTTCTATATACTTCAGAATGAAAATAGTCAATACACTTACTAACTAGTCATTATCCATGATGAAAATGTCAAAATATGATTCAAACTTTACAGTAAAATTTACACAGTATTAATATTTAGTTATAAATAAGGAGATATAGTACAAATAGATGAACTCAGAAATTTGATTGGCTAATAACTCAGTAAGTTCTCAAATCATAAACATGTTTATGATTTGAGAAATGTTAATTTTTAAATTTCAAAATTAACAATTTTAAAGTACAGTGGTGCCTCATATAATGTACTTAATCCGTTCCAGGTGCACGTCCGTTAAGTGAATAGTCCATTATACGAAACGCATTTTCCCATAGAAATACATGATTTCTGCATTAGGTGCAAAATTCTGAAAAATTTTCTATTTAATTATTGATAGCAAACTCGTAAATAATCAAATCCACAAAAATCACAGGTTGGACTGTAATTCTTAAACATTGACATTTGATTTCATACATTAATATATTAGCATTTGGTAATTGGATACTTTTTTTATTAAACATTACTCAGTTTTAATTAAAACTACAACATAAAATACAAATGCAATAACTGAGTCAATACTTCAA